GATTGATAAAATTCATTACAATTGGAGGGCACTACGGCCATTACATAATTGGGCAAAAAAATGAAAAGCTAACTACAATAGGGACTAGCCGATCAAGCCTCCGGGGTTGGCTCTTCAATCTCGTCGGCCCCCTCCTCATCGGCCTCAGCTTCCTGGCCGGCAGCGGCGCTGGTGGCATCATCCAAGAAATCGAACTCGGTATAGTCCGGCTCGCCGAGGCCGGAGCTTTCTATGGGGGACTCCCGCTCCGACAGCGGAAGCGCGGCCTGCCCTTCGGGATCCTTCATCAGCTTTGGGAGCTTCAGGTTTCGTCTAGCCCATCCGGCCGTGTAATTCATGGCCTTCAACGCCCGGGATAGCCGCCGGTACAGGAGCCTTTGCATCCGCTCCTGCCCCAGGTTGTAGTAAACAGACATCTCCTGGCTGAAATACTCCCGGCCGGCAGGGGAGTTCATCCCCCAATTCTCCAGCCTGGCGGCCACCACCTCGTAACACCAGGGGAGCCTCTCATCGGCCTTCCACCCTTCGGCCAAGAACTTCTCAACAGCCTCATCGGCAGCCCTCACAACGGCGGCTTCGGCCTCAGCTTTCGCCTTGGCGGCCTCCTCGCTCCTGCGCTTCTCGGCCTCAAGCGCTCTACGGGACTCTGCGAGCTCCCTTTTGCTCTCTTCGAGCTGGACCAGGGCAACGTCCCTGGCCGCGACGGCCTCATCAGCTTTGGCCTGCAGCGCCTTGGCATTCTCCCGGAGCCGGTCAAGGCAAGCTACCGCCTCGTCGGCCGAGGCAGCCTTCTGCTCCAGTGCTTGCAGGCGGGCAATCTCCCAGTACTGCCTCTTATGGCTTTCCATAAGCATGAAGGCACTCTGCAGAAGAAAAACTAAGGTCAGGCAAAAACTCTACATAGCCGAAGAAAGACAAGGATATAAGGACAACCACTCACTTGGACGAGGAGATCCATGCCACCCTCGTAGATCTTCGGCTCCTCGAGCTTCTTCAGATGAGTCCGATCTTTGGCCGGCATGGCCTTGGCCAGGACGACATGGCCGGGGACGAGCTCATTGAACACGCCCCCGCCGACGGGGTACTCTATCACTTTCTGATAGGTAGCACCGGCAACCTCTTTGCCGGCCCTCTGCGTCCGTGGTTCCTGGACGAGAGGAAGCGCTGGGGCGGCACCATCAGCAACAGTAAGGTCCACGACGGGACCACCATCGCCCACGCTGGGGACGGTAAGCGTACCGGCCTCACTGGCAGGAGAAGGGGAAGGAGCCCTCTTCGTCTTCTTAGAGACGCTCACGCCGGCCTCGGTCAACTTCTTCTGGCCGTCAGTGGCCGGTCTCTTTTTCTTGGACGGGGCAGGCTTTGGGGCCGCATCTGCATTAGCCCCGCCCACACCGGCCGCGGCACGCCTGGCCGCTTCAGCCGCCTTAGCAGCAATCTCCTCGGCCGCTTTGGCCTTCGCAATCGCCATCATAGAACGGCGGTCCATGACAAAATCTACAAGGGAAAAGCACAAACAGATTAGTAAAGCAAAGGACAAAACATAAAGACAGAAAGCCGAAGAAAGAATTACCATCGGCCTCAGCAGGAATGCCCAAGTCTGGGCCGTCGGCCTCCTCAAAGGTGGTGGTCATCCTCGGCCAGAGTTGGAGGTCATCCTCCTTGTCACCATAAACATAGTACCTCACGAAGCCGAGGGCGGCCATCTTGTACTCGGTGATGTACTCTTTCACGCTCCTCGGCCCCCCCTCCAGGAAAGCCTCCACCTGAGCGTCCAAAATAGAGCTCTTCGGCGGATCATGCAGATTAAATCTCCCGGTGTGGCCGAGGGAGGGGAACTCGGTGCCACTCTCACCAATGGACACAAACACGAACTTGCTCTTCCACCCATGAATGGACGTAGGCAAATCCGTGAAGCTCCTCTTCCTCGGCAGCTGTTGAAGAGTGGCATAGGCCGCACAGTTCTTGTGGCTTCCTCGGCCGATCTGGTACAAGTTCATGAATAAGGCCGTGGTCGGCCTGTAGCCCAACTCCTCACACCGAAGCAAGAAGCCCACTATCAAGGAATAACTGTTCGGCGTCAGCAGGGCCGGAGGAAGCCCCACCATGTCCAGATACTCGGTGACGAAGGGGTGAAGGGGGAACCTCAGCCCCTTAGCAAAACTCATCGGGTATACTCCGAAGTATCCCGGTGGCGGAAGTAGAACATGGTCCGTCGGCCTGGGTGCCCTAACCCGCCCGAACGGCCCCACGTACATCTGGGCGACAAGATAGTCGGCCTCACTGCTCTCCGGCTTAATCAGGAATATGTTGGTAAGGTCCAAGTAGGAGAGACCCGGCCCATTCTTCGGCCTCCTCACTCTCTTCGGCTTCGATGCGCCCTTCACGGCAGATACCGGCTTCGGGCACGGAACGGCAGCAGAGGTGGACGCCCCGTCCACCGCTCGGGACGCACCTACGTCCTCACCCTCTGAAGAGGAGGCGGACTCCTCGTCCTCGATCTCCTCGTCCATTAGCTCTACGGATTTGTAGGGGCTCAAACGCTCTATCTCCTCTTCAAACTCCTCGAGCACCTCGTAGTCAAGGGACCTCGTGGAGGGCTGGTCGTCGTAGGGGTAGTAGTCCTCGTTCAAACTCTTCATTACTACTACGGGCTTAAGGAGAACTTACGATCTAAGGGTGTTTAGATGCCCAACACTAGATCAACTACTTACGGAGCAAAATATGAAAAGTGAGGAAGATCGTGATGAACACTAACCTCAAACAATGAAGAACACGAAGAACAGGCTTGGGAGTTTCTCTCTCTAGAAAATCGGCCAGCACTTCGACAAATTCAGAATGCAAATGTGATTCTTCGTCGGAGGGGAAGGGGTATTTATAGACCCCCCCCCACCAACGGTCACTACACGTGGCACTCACCAAATGGCCACATCAACGGCCACCACTGGGGGGCCACCACGTCCCCAACGGGCCAGGACCAATCTATATCAACGGCCCACTGGCAAATCAGACTCTACGGCCTACACACGCTCAACGGCTTTACAACTGCCAGCAAGCGCCCTCAACGTCCCATTTGCTCACCAATATCACAAATGCCAAACAATAAGAGGATGGCAACGGCCAGGTACGTAACGGCCACAGAACAAAGGGAACAAATAGCCCACAGCCTTCGGCTCCTCGTAATAACCCTTGATGATAACTCTCTACAAGCGATCTGCGCACAAGGGTTCTCCCACAGGGTTACCTTGGCCAGAAAATCGCCATGAGAGTTGGATTCAGGGGGACTACGGCGAGACCGCTTCGGCCAAGGACTCAGGCAACTCCTTCACCCCTCACTCTCTTCGGCCTGAAGCAGTGGGGGACTGGGGGACTACACCGGCCTCAACGAAACAAAGGTATAAACAAGGTAACCACAAAACATGGCCACATCATCCATACAGCACAACAGAACCTCATCGGCCAAAGGCCCATAACGTCACTAGCAACGGCCAACAGGCCACTAGAGGCAAGGACACTCATCGTCCTCCGCCAACAATTAATCTTGACGGGCTCTTCGGCCAAAAACACAAAGGAACAACCTCAACGGCCTCACCGGCCCAAACACCAACGGCCAGGAAAGGGAGAGCGCGCCCTCAACGGCCACCATTGAAGGAAGGACACTCATCGTCCCAAAACACATTAAGGAAATGACGGCCTCCCCGCCCACAGCAAGGAACAGGTAACGGCCAAAGCACAGAATAGGATCACCAGAGAGGAAACAACGCCAACGCCACAACGGCTAACGGCCTGGAAATGCCCGCGTCGGCCAAAAGCAACAAAGCACAGAAATCTACTCTCCTTCACTTCGTCTACGTCTCAGCTTAGAGAGTGGGGGACTCCTGATGGAGTATATGGGTCTGAGCCCCAGGACCCACATACTCGGAAGAACAGAGCACAAGACAGAGTGGCGCCCTCGTCGGCCAAACGCCCTCGTCGGCCGAGAGGAAGCCAACCCGGATTATGATCCCGAGTCCAAGGAACCCGGGTGCCCTCGTCGGCCGTGCCCTCGTCGGCCGTGCCCTCGTCGGCCACGACCTCGTCGGCCACGAGGACCTCCCAGAATCGGATCCTACACTTACTCACTTGTACAGCCCATTAGTGGCTTTGTATTCGGCCCAGTAGCGGTCCAGTTGTAAATGGGCCTCCCAAGCCCAAGGCTTGGGAGCCCAACCCTAATTTTCTCTATAAATACTCCCCTTGGGAGTAGTTATAGGGGTTACGAAATCATTCTATTGAAGCATATTATTGCACTTCTCTCTCTAGCTCTCACTTCTCTCTAGAATTCAGGAGATATACTCTATCACCCGTATATCATTTATTGATTCTGAAATTCCATTTCTCAGCTTGTGTCTTGTATTTTTTCCATCATTTGCAATGGAGCCAAAGACTCACTATATTTTGGCTTGAGAATATGATGGAATAAAGCAAAATGGCTCACTAAATTGTACGTGCTTCTATGTTATGAAGCAGCAATCAGTCCATGCCATTTTCGATGCGATTTTCACCATGTGTCATCCAGAAACAGTCTCTCTGTGCTTTAGTACAGAGGTAAGGTTGTGTACATCCCACCCTTCTTACCCCACTGTAGGTGGGAGCCTTTGCCCCAAAAATATATATAAATGTTACTACATATGATATACAGTAATAGATAGGAGGGAAGGATTATAACTGTATTCAGAATTAAATCTCTATGGTGTGACTCCTTCAGTTTTTTTATATATAATACAACCTGAGAAAGTTGATCATGAACGGACATATCTTGAAGAAATGCAGAATACAGACACACACAGGAAAAGGCTCCAGTGCTGAATCAGCATCACGGCACTAAAGTCATACACACACGTTGAGAGTAATTAATAAGTTCTTTGGTTTCGTTATACTAAAAAATCTTATTGTGTGATATCATTTATATGGTGTCCTATGGAGAAATAAAGTGTCATGTGCAAATTTTGAAATGGCAGAGCAAGGATTATATTAAGCAGCATAAAAAGGTGTCCCACCCGCAGGCAGCAGCTCAACCGCCAGCACCGCCTGCCTTAAGTTGTCCAGTTTGTATGGCACAGCTGGTGGAAGAGACGTCAACCAAATGTGGACATATTTTCTGTAAGAAATGTATAGGTGCTGCGATAGCTGCCCAAGGGAAATGCCCCACCTGTAGACGGGAACTCAAAGCCGGAAAAGACACTTTCAGGGTCTACCTTCCGACATCTTATTAACATGACAAGATTCCGAAGTGTAAGTTGATCTATCCCCCTCCCCTTGGCATTACCCACCCTCTAATTTAATAAGCCCCCCTGCCATTGTGGAAGTGAGAGTGTGTTCTTTAAGTTTTATTTGGCTGAAATGGTTGAATCTATGGAAAGAAAAGAAAAGGTATGGTAACACTCATTTCGGCCAAATAAGCAAGTGAAATCCACTTATTTTGCCATATTAGACTGTCAACCGAAGTTTTATTTTCTCTATGGTTCCAGTTATTGATACGAGTTGCTCTTCAATTGTTCTTCAGGTTGATGTAGAGGAAGGAGTAGGTGGAGTGCATGCAGGGTATATTGGTCTAACCTTTCTAATTATGATGATTTAGGAGATTGGCTTTGATTTTCCTGTTCCTCTCTTGTAGCAAGAAAGAGTCGTTGCCCCCTCCATATTAGGGGTTTTGTTTCTATTGGTAACAATAAAATGATTATGTTTTTCTATGGGCATTTTGACATTTTGTTGAACCCAAACAGTGAAAGTATCCTGCTAGGCTTCCTAAAGCCAATGTGACATCCTTTTTTTTTTGGAGAAAGCCAATTTCATACTTCGTTTTGAGTTCCGTTATGTTGTTATCTATATTTGTTGTAGGCATCTATAAGGCTACCACAAATCAAGTTTTGCTTGGGGAAATTTCATGTCCATTAAATTGATGGTTCGTGTGTACCAGCCATTTATCATACTCATTAGCCAAAGTAAAATGTTAATTAGGTATTTAGGTACATGGATACACCATTTCTCCAAATATTTTACAAACGAAATGCAGCAAAAAGCAGTGATTTGAGGCTGAAACGCCAAATACCAAACGTAGCCGAAGTATTGAAATATATGGGCTTTTTGAAAGTACAATGAAAATATAGAAGCAAATACAACTGGTGAAATTGAATAGTTGAAATTGAAGAACGTTGAACATATTACTCCGTATTATTTCTAATAAGTGATTTAGTAATCACGTGTGACAATGTTTAGACAAATTAACTGGTGGATTTGAATAGTTGGAAACTTGGAATTGAAGAACATGAACATATAATTTTTGAAACTTTTATTTTTGTTTATGTTTTAGAAATTATATTCTTTATTGGAAGGAAAACAAATTATTCCCTCCGTCACGTAAAAAAGTTCCTAGTTTGACCTACACACATATTTATGTAAGATAGAGTTTTGTTTTGACTTTCCAAGTATACCCTTACTTTATGTCAAATCAAACAAGAAGTGGATAAAAAGTAAGGGTAGTTGTGACTTTTTGGTTAAAAGTGGTTTCCTTTTGTAGAAATGAGAACTTTTTGGGACATCCATAAAAGGAAAGTGAGAACTTCTTTGCGGGACGGATGTAGTATATTTCTAATCAGTGATTTAGTTAACAATAGAGCCAAAGACTCATTATTTTTTGGCTTGAGATAGGATGGAATAAAACAAAATAGCTTACTAAACTATCTACGCTTCTTTGTTATGAAGTAGCAATCAGTCCATGCAATTTTGAACGAGATGTTCACTACATGGGTGGATTCGGGCCGGGCCGGGCCAGGTCCGGGTCAGGCCTAGGCCCGGGCGAGCCGGCGGTTCAGGATTGGTAGACCCAGGACTGGCCCGGGTAGCCACCAGGTCCGGGCCGGGCCGAGCCGAGCCTCCGGTTTGCGTATTGTTATTATTTTTTTTGCTTTCCTAACCCTCCCCCCCCACCCCCACCCTCCCAAACCCCCCAAACCCCTCCTAACCATCAAGCCCAACCCGGGTGGAACCCCAAAAATGAAAAAAAAATCAATTTGGCCCGGACCCGGGCCCGACCCGGCCGGGCCGGTTCGCCAAATGTGAGACCTGAGCCCGGACCCGCCCTACCCTCCGGGCCTAGGCCCGACCCGGATCCGGACCCGAGAACCGGGCCGGTCCCGGTCCCGCACAGTAGCGGGCCGGGTGGCTCGATCCGAGTCCACCACTAGTTCACTATGGTCATCCGGAAACAGTCTATCTATGCTTTAGTACAGGGTAAGACTACGTACATCCGACCCCCTTATCCCACCGAAGGTGTGGGAGCCTTTGCGATACTGGGGTAATGATGATGATGAGTGATTTAGTTGACAAATGTGTCTATTTTTAAGTACCTAGATTCAAAAATAAACATTACCTTTTTCTTGTGTAAGTGACATTACCATCTCTAATTATAAATTGTTATTGTGATCATCTAGCATAGATCATTATATTTATAATACTTGCTAACTATTCACTGGATCTAAAATGCCAGTAATTTGATATCATAATACGATGTGATGCTTAGGTATCCGAGACAAAACAAGAACAGAGGAACAACCAATGCACCACCATAGATTGGGGGGCTTACATCCCAAGCGATGATTTTGTTAAAAACCAAACAAAATTAACCGCTCATTCAAACCTCCTCCTCGGGTTCTTCGCTTCTTCCAATGTTGTTACCATCCTGGCGGTTCTGGTCAGCATTGGTGGTGACCGTAGCGGATGCCATTGGCATTGCCATAGGAGGGTAGGTGGTACCACCACCAGCACCACCCATGTCTTTGGTCTTGTGCAAGAGAAAGGTGCCTGAGAGGATGGTCATGAATCCACACAGCTCTGTAATTATCTGTGTAACATCATTGTGATCCCACTCCTAAAGAATTCTCAACCAAAACAAAGTCATGTCACCATAAAGGGAAAATGATCTTTAAAAAAGAGAGAAATAATAATTATCATGAGTGTAAGATGGGGGACGGGGAGTTTGGTATGCGGTATCATCATCATGCATCACTCATCACTCTTCATCAGTACCTTGAACATGATGACGCTAGCTACAATCGTGAGCGTTGTGAACATGACATAGTACACCGGCGACACCACTGCTGTGTTGAATGTGTCCAGCGCCTATACATACATCACACCACCACCATTTCTTGATTATTATTACTATTAATATTACTTTTTTCCGGTTATTATTATTATCATCATATTATTAAAGTTATAGTAGTATCGTTATATGGACATCAAGCACTGGTTGACAAGAAGTTAAGAGCCCGTTTGGTAAGCCCATATGAGCTTAGCCGCCTTAGAACACTGGAAAAATGACCAAACACCCTAACATCTGACTGGTTTGGACTTTGAGATACTTTTAGGCTGGCTCTTATTTTTACAATGAAATGACAATTTTGTCCTCTTCTTGTTTTGCCACATGCAAAAAAATACTACTTACCTTGCAAATTATACATGCAATTGACCATTTTTACCATAAAAAACCACCAAACACTGGAGTCGATCAGTTCAGCACATTCACTCAAAGCATCCATTTCAGCTATCACCGAACGGGCTCTAAGACTCCGTTTGGTAGCCTTATATGGCATATTTTGCTTATTCTACTCATCAAACTAAGTAACTTTTAACTCATGTGGTCAGAATGGATGTCATCAAATGCTTTTTATTTCACAAAATTCAGCAACTTTTAGCCACATAAACCTTACCAAATGGGCTCTAAGTTAAATATCAAAACCTCAGTCACCGAAGTGCATGATAATACTGAAAGAGTCCTCAAACTGATCTCAGAAATACCTTGTTCAGATAGTTGAGCTGAAGAAGGCAACACATGATGACACATATAGTGAAGAACCATGTCTGGAAGTATTTAAATTGATTCATTCCTTCAAATGAGAGCTTCAGAGCCGTTCCAACCGCTTTCACACACATAACCTGCAACAAAATGGTAGAAAATTAGTAGATAATAAGCAATCATAAGGGCATACACAAAGAGGAACAACCCAAACTCTTTTGGTTTTCTTATAATTAGGGGAGGGGATGAAACCGTTAGTGAGCCAGTGAGGGAACAGATTCCAATGTAGACAACCATATGTGTTTGTCCGTAGCGTGGCACGTAACGAAAAACTAGCACTACAACCAGAACTATAACCATGACAGTGTAGATTATAAATCCTGCACATTTCAAAGGATTGGAAATATATAAATAAACAAGAGGATAGCAAAGAAGAAAAAATTGTCTTAAACTACTACACTGTAAGGTATGGACACAAATAAAATATCTAGATGTTTCCCTTAGCCTCTCTACTTTGGCTCATTAAACTTCCCATGCAACTATTAAAGTCTGTTTGGGCTGCGGAAAATGCCGGGAAAAAAACAGAGAGGAAAATATAGGAGAAATTTGTCAGGAAAGAAAACATTGAGGAAAATAAAATATCGTTTCAAACTCAATTAATTATTTTTCAATATTGGTTCAAATTTCTTTTTACTACGGAGTATCATATAATGATATAAAAGTTAAACAATCGAAGCAGATGCAGAAATTTGAAAAAATGGTAATCATATTCATTTTTCAATGCATTATCATGGTAAACCCAAACATAAGAACATGATTTTTCTTAGCATTTTGTTTTCTTTCTCTAGCATTTGTCAGGATCCAAATATTGCCTTGAAGATATGGGAGGGTGTTTTCTTCCCTTCTCCATTTAATTAAGAAAATGATAGATATAAAGGTGAAAAAGAGTTCAGAATATAAATTTCTCAAAGGCACGAGGCGTGGTACCATGAAGAAAGCTTCACAAACCTGGCGCATGTGCGGAAAGACATTTTGTATGTTGTTTATTATTTTGAAGAAAAAAGTGGTCAAATATGTCCATTTTCTTCACTGAAATGTACAATTACGCCCCTGAACTGAATTAGGCTCCAATTAATCACCCAAAGCATTAAAGATAGGTGCAAGTCCTCCAGTTAGCAGGTCCCCTTTTTGTCAACTGGTTAAGCGTTCTTAGGTGGCACTAGATTTCCATTGTAGTGCTAATGTGGCAAATGTAGAGGGCCAAATACACCCCTCAATGTGTAACTACCTTTTGCAAACCTCATAGAGGTGGTGTCATGAATGTTATAAGTAGGCCTTTCATGATATAAAACAAACCTTCACACCTATAAATCATTTCCTTGCAAACTGTTCTTTAACATATGAGTATCATTTTATCATTCTTGTATTTATTTTGCTCTCCTAGTACTTCATCCCCCACTTAGGGTCTATTTGAATGGAGAGTTTAGAATGGTTTAGGAGGATAATTTTTGAAAAACATTCTGTTCATTAGAAGATAAAAAGATCCTTCCGAAACCTTCCCCTCCAAAACCCCCTATCCAAACCAGCCCTTGAAGGCCATTGTAACTGAAAGAGTTTCAAGAAGTGATGTAATATGCCTACCTGGCTGAGTTGCTTGGTTCCAAACCTCCTTGACAGAGTCGATTTTCCTTTCTAAAGGAGCATGCAAAACTATACTGACAGACCCCACCAAGCAGAGGATACACCCAACCACACCAAACATATGTAATCTTTCACCCAATATGAAATGGGCTAGCACTGCACTGCGTAAATGTTAAATCATGACACATTTTAATATTCTTCTTCAATTGAACTGAAAACAGCTTTTATTATAGTTCAAAATTGTAGGGACACTATCATCTGACTGACCTGAAGATGATACTTAAAGCTCCCAATGGAGTCACAAGAATGGCTGGAGCATATGCATACGCAGCAAAATTTGCACCCTCACCTATTATCACTACACAGTACACACACCAAAAATTTCTCTTTTTTGTAAATTAAGAACAAACATTGAAGTACTGTCGTATATACTTGTAAAAAATGACCTTACTGGTTATCATCCCAGCCCACCACCAAGGTTCAAGCAAGTAAGAGTGGCCTCCGGAGCCTGATGAAATACTAAACACATTGACTACTATTTGAACCATCACAGCAGAAATTTGAAAAATTGAAAACCTAGTCACTAATAAATGGCCTGAGGAAATGCATAATTGAAGAAATCCAGAAAGAGATGTGAAGAAGAAGAACAAACCAGCGCGTTTTCCAGTTGCACCAGCCCTCATAAGACCCTTTTTCTTAATAATGAAGCTCGATCCAATAAAAATGCTAGACGACAGAGCTAAAAGCAGTCCACGTACATTGTCAGAAAATCCCCCCATTCAAAGAGTGGGATTTATGAAATGAAAATATCGAGTTCCTCGGATCAAACCCACCCCTGCATTGTGAAAGTGCGTTCTTTCTTATAAAAATCTGTTTTTTAAAGAAACTGGGTGAAAAACCGATCACCTTTTACTTACGTGTCAGCAGATTGGAGAAGAAATTATCAAACTCGACATACAAGAAAGAAATAATATTCTGTACGATGAAGTGGAACAGAGATTTTCGAGAGTCCGGAGAAAGAAGAAACCTTCTTTGGGTTTCTTTGCATGTGTTCACGACTTCACGTGAGTAAAATAATGAATAATACGAAAAAATTTAAAGATCAGAACCCTGAATTCCGTTGCGCAATATAAAATTCAAGAAAATGAAAATGGGTTTTATTTATTTATCAGAACGGCATAAAATCGAAATCCAGCCATCCAGGTGGCTACAAATGTCTCTTTCTTTCTGTTTATACCGCCGCATCAATTTTCATTTATGAGAGAATTTTAGTTTCCTGCAAATGAATACATCCCTTAATTTGCTACTCCGTATATATTTCTCGCTTTTCCGGAAGATTGGGAAAAACCCCTCCTAAATAAAATACTCCGTAACATGGTTTTTTATTTTTATTTTTTTTCACGCCGAAGGTAATTAAATTCAAACGTGGGTCGGCGCCAACTGTTTAATTCCCCGTGCAAAATGCTCCGTTTACGGCTAACTTGGTTTGTAATGCAATTGAAAGATTCGAAGAAATGAGAGCTTGGGTGACGAATAACGATGCATCAGAGGAAAATAAATTACGAGTATACAATAAAGCGGATTTGGAGTTTGCTTTTTTTTTTTCAAAAAGCGGATTTGGAGATTTTTTTTTTTGCAAAAAGCGGATTTGGAGATTGAAATGTCAAAATGTATTTAATTGGATTAAAACTTTTTAACTTTTAATTTGATCTGCTTTTTAATCCAATTATGCACAATCCGATGCCATAAACATTTTAAATCAATCTTACCTAATTTGGATACGACACAAACATTTTGTACGTAAATATTTTGTTATTGTTTGAATATGATCTGTTTTCATTCTGAATTGATTGAAATATGATAATCATTTGTTATTAGTTGTATTAGTCCATTTTTAACTAATAATCTGTAGGTTTTTAATTCGATGTTTGTAATTATGAAAAAATTAAGCACAAGCATTTTCTTGACAACATTTTGTTAGAAAAATGTTTATTTGATTTTTTATTTTATTTTTTGAGTAAAATATAATAAATCAGCAAATTCAACTACTTGAAAATATTTCTAACAACTTCTGCCACAATTAGTTTAATTAATATTAAGAAATGTAATTTATTTATGAAAACCTACTTTAAAACCCATGCTAAGCCATTGAAGTGGATGGTGCAAGTAGAAATATGGCCCTAATTGCAACGATAATAAATAAATCAAAATTATGAATTGCAACCAAACCCCTTTTTTGTTTACATCTATCTAACATCTAAAGTCTACACTTCTGTTCTATGTTACAAACCAAAATTGTACTGTAAATTTACATTTTGCTGGAGTTGTAAAGACTACCCGTAATTTTTACACTCAATAAGAAACATCAGCTTTCTGTACATATGGAAAGCAAAAAAACTCGCCAACGCCGCCCTTCATATTTTTGGGCCAAAGATTGAGAAAACAGTGGGACTGATGGTGTCCATATTTCAAGATCTCATCCATAAGATTCGATCAAAATGAGAAGCACTACTCAGTATGGAATGACATATGGAAGAGCAACAATATCAGCAGATATACAGTGACGAGCTTCTGACCATACTTGTTGCTCTATATCAGCAGAAGGAATATCCATACACTTCGTAGCTGATGACGACTCATCCTTGCATACAAACAGCCATTCCTGGCCATCACATTCATTCCACTCCTCCATTTTGGGAACAGAGAGAATCTGGCTGAGAAACTTCAAGTCCGGATGAGGAGATTTTTTAGACGTTTCATCAATATGTTTGGGACGGTGAGGTTTCTTGGATGGTTTGGCTATTTCATCAGGACATCTAATAGAAATTTGATAAGCAGTGGTGATTGTTGGTGAAACGGACTTTTTACCATTGATTATGTGGACCGTATTACCCACTTTAAGCTCAGAGCCACCACCTCCATGTCCAGCTGTAGTAATGATATTGGGAGTTTGAAGTGTATCCACCTTACTTACATTCACGGGCATCTCATGAGTAGTAGCAGGCCTGGGTATTTTGGCTGGCCTAGTCTCATCTTCTGTAAGATGATAAGAGAAGTAACATTTATAATCACCCCACAATAAGGTCATTAAAAGCTAAAACAGTTCTGTTCATATTCAAACCATGAGTAGGGAAAATATAAAATCTCCATCCATTAAAAAAGTCATGTTTTAGTAAGGTACACCATTTTATTTGAGTCTGCTCAATCAAAGTACAGGCTTCTACAAACTATTATGAATAATGGGAACTTATGGTTCCCCTAAAGCTAACTTCCAACATTGTTTTGGAGTATTTGACTAAACCTGCCTTCTGCTTGGATTTACACGAATTTCACTTTATAATGAACATTGATTCTTAAAAGCACTCTTTTTGGGACAAAAATAATCTGGAAATAGAACTTCTAGTTTTAAGTTTTTGTGCTGGGGGGATTGTATGTAAACAATTTCTAATTGTATCATTTTGCTGTCAACATAATAACGCTTGATAGGGCAGACCAGATAATGTTTCTTTCCATCCAACAGTTACGGGAGAACATAGTTTTATAATTCTTTCAGCCTCAAAGGACTTACTGTGCAAAAGACCATTCCTCTCTACAGTTTTCCTCTTGCTGATGATCTCTCCTTCAGGGGCAGCATCATTATTTTTAACCCTGAAAACATGTGGAATTTCACCATTGGTAACAACAATGGAATCAGTTGTAGCAATGGCTCTGAATACATCCTGCTCAGTGTTGTTGACCTTGTTATTCCCTTTGACCTTTTCCTTCTCCTCCCTTTTACGGTCTTTGTCCTCCGGACTTTTCTTAGTCCTTCTGTTATGATTTTCGCTGTGCCAAGGCTTTCCATCAAACCCTCTACTTTTTCCTCTTTCCTTTATGTGCCCCATCCTTTCATTGCCTCCTTTAGGTTGTTCCTCCTCTTCTTTCCTCTCAGTATTGACCACCCCCAATGGTCTGGGCATTCCTTCAAATTTGTTCGTGTTGGCCTCACACATATTGGCAACCATAGATTTTCCATTATTATCAACTCCCAAAAACCCGAAGTTCTGTATCCCTACAAACCTGTCCATCTGCTCATCCCTATTCACCTCGCCAAATCGGTTCCCCTTTTTTCCCTTCTCGTCATCTTTGATCCTCCTGCCCAACTCCTGCACAGATTTTGATTCATCTGCCTTTGAGTAAATGCCACTAGGATTATCAGCAAGTCTTGCCTCTTCAGAAATGCTGCTTCTTTCTTTATCTATTCCTTGATCCTTATCTTTATCCTTTTTGCCCCGATGCTTCTCTCTCTTATCCTTGTGTTTATCTTTTCGATTTTTTCCTTTGTGTTTCCTATCACTTTTATCTTTCTCCTTTTTCTCTTTACGCTCTCTCTTTTTATCTTTCTTGTCCTTGTTGTGCCTTTTCACTTTCTCTTTATCCTGGAAGACAAAAAGGAGAGGCACATTTGATGCAACAGCATATACAAGCAAAGAAAGTCCAGGGAAAAATGTGCAAAGCAATACAGAAAATAAAGACGGCTATGGGAATTTACCAAGCAAGACTTCATTAAAGATGGAATTTAGCTCTAGCTATATGAAACAATATTATCTCACACAAACCAAAGCATTTCATATCAATTTTTTAGACTTGATGATACTACACATTTACACATGCACAGATATATCAACACAAATTAGGTGAAAAGCAGTGAGGTTCATAGTTCCAAAAGATGTATTATAAGCCCATGTACTAAGATGTTCTCTAAAAAAGAACCTCCACCCCACATAGCCTCCACATATTTAGTCCCCAAGGCCAAATACTGAGATGTCTCCCTAAAAACGAAGCATATACCCCCCCCCCCAAAAAAAAATGGTAGGATGCTAAGAATTATGTGCAAACAGAACATGAGCATTCTAACCAGAAAAGAAAATAACAAAAATCAAATAGTTATGCATAACATTTTTCTCATTAATTACCCCGGACAAATTTATTCTACGTGTGCCAAATTGCTCAGCATAAGATTTCAGATGTGACATACTTTCTAATAAGAAAGAGGGGATATCTTGACAAATGTACCAACAATTAAAAAAGTCAAATCATAAAATATTGAAAATAAGTCATTGATTCTTATGGAAGTCACTAAACTGAACATCTGTTAAATGAAGACAAGAAACTCACATTGGCATAGATTAGCTTCTGGGGTATCTCTCTGTGTATTTTCAATTCTTTCTTGTGTTCTGAGAAGAGAGGGGGGGGGGGGGGGGGGGGGAGACGCCCTAGCCCCTAAGGTCACTTTCTCTTTTCATTTTGAAGATTCTTAGCATTGCCAATTTAGACTGTTCCATCAGACACTTCAATTTATAGTCTAAATGGCCAGGTGGCTCTGCAACTACTATTATAGTTAAGTGAAACATATTAACTAGTACCAAAATCAGGAGGATTTCTATACCAAAACTATCATGTTACTCCCAAACGGACACGCCTACAAAGATGAAGAAATCTCTTTGTTTTATGATAAATAGTAACATTACAATCTAATACCCCTGACAATGCCAGCTAAGATGATGCTCAGATCAACTTATTTTGGTTTGCGTGTTACTTATTCATATTCTAATACGGTCAAACTAGAAATATTCAAATTAGACCAGACCAGAAAGATTCGGACCAGACCAGATGTTATAATTCAAAAAAGAACAGGACAAGACCACAAACATTCAGAACAGACCATAAACACTCTACTATATCAGCCCGTAAGGTTAAGACCACTCAACCAGATCAGAAATATTCCGACCATATCTTTGAAAATGCAGGCAAAGAGAATCGGTCCTAAAGCTGATGATACCACATTTGCTACTCGATTAAGGCATCCTAATGCGTAAGGTACCACCTTTTCTTCCGGAACAACCATGGTAAACTTAAAAAAAGCTAGGCATATTATGGTGGTTGGTTTACTTATATGCATCAAAAGAAATATCTAATTTTTTATTTAGGGGAACTAATTTTGTTGTGTAGATAGTTTAATTCAGGTAACTGATTTCAAATTTCAATGTCCTGCCACTGAAGCCTCAGATCACTTGTGAAAAAATATGGATATTCACAACTGCTAAGAATATTTTGGATCCAATTGAAGTATCACTGACAAGCAATGATATGCAAATAAACAAAATGATATGGAAACACATCCTAACCATGATGACAATTGGCAGGAAATCACAAAGGGGAAACTGAACAGTAAAAGCCGACTTGAAACGGTGACATGTACCAATGTATCACTTAAATCCGCAACTTATGTGTTCAAAGGGATCACATTTACTAATCAATGAAAAAAATGGAATTTGTGGAAAGCAATAAATAACAGTGTTTATTTCTGAATATAAAATAAGTACTGAATGCAATCCCTTTGAAAAAATCAGAAAGATGGGATGAATTGCAATACAAGTTAGTTTTTCATTTTTAAGAATAATACAAGTCTAGGGCTTCAGTTTTACATTTCTGGTCTAATTAATACTCCCTCCGTCCCATTTTACCCCTCTTACTTTCCTTTTTGAGTTGTCCCAAGATTAGTGTTATATTTCCTTTTATGGAAAGAAATATATGGTCCACAATATTTCACTTTATTATACTCAAATTTCAACCACAACTTGTACTTTTTCAACCACTTTATTAATAATTGTCCCAAACCAAAACAAAACACATAAAATGGGACAGAGGTAGTATTAAAAACATTGATGCCTCATTTTATAATTAAAAGTAACAACTGATTCCTTTATTATTATCAGAGTGCAAGAAGTATGCAATATGAAAACAATATTCATTTGAAATGGTATACGTTTATGTATCTCACAACAGAATAATTAGACGGGAATGAAAACTCAATTAGGTAGAAATGGAAACAGTGGCATTCATAATAATGCCCACATGGATGGAAACAAAGAAAATGCAGATAGGATGGGAAACGTTAATTTTGTTTGGAGAAGGAAAAGGGAGAAGAAATAATCCCAGACTACCATGTACTTCCTCTCTAAAAACAGGTCGAATCCCTCCTTTTTTTAACACACTATACACATGACCAAGCACTCTAGCTTTTCTCTCATTCTTTATACATGCAAGATGTGACAACTATTTTTCTTTTTTCCATCTAATAACAATGTTCCTTATACATTATCCTTCACTTCCTATGTTTCCTTCCCCGTTTTCTCCCTCAACGTCTGTGTAGCAAACATCTTATAATGAACACACAATCCCCTACTTCATAAGATTCTCATTAAAATTTTAAAAAACAAAAAACAGATGGTTTGACTAATGAATTAAATAGCCAGAACGGGTGGAATTTATTGAAGGAAAGCATTGTCATTGTTCAGTTGGGTATAAATGGAGTGGGGAAATAATTCCCGTCTTCAACATTTCAATTACGAAAGGTCTTGTTTTTTGTTCGCCAAAAAGCAATACACACATAATTTGACTTATATTACTCCCTCTATGGCTCTATCCCTTATAACCTTGTCAAATCTTTCCTTTTTTGGTTGCCCCCAAAACTTATCACTTTCTCTTTTAATCAATTAATTTGTGATTCCTATTATTTCTCTCTCCTCTGCACAAATCTCAACCACACAATTTTTACTTTATTATTTTCCGTGCCGGTCAAATTTGGCAAATATTTATCATGCTTATATTTCTTGACAAATATAAGTGCCCTAATGTCATACCACATTGTAACATAGATACCGAGTATATGTTCTTTAATAAGGTAGAGTCATGTTTGTGGTAACAAATGCAATCAACCCTGCCAAATTAGCCATAAAAATACAAGAGTTTATCATGGGAAGTAAGCAAATTATCAGGTAACAACAAGGATAATTATAATACTCCCTCCGTGTTTTAATGATTGCTACATTAGGCTTTGGCACACTATTTAAGGAGAAAATAGTAGGGATAATAAATAATGTAGAAAAAGTAGGAGAGATGGTAAAAAGGTATGAAAGAGAAGATAAAAAGTATACAAAGTAAGGATAATTGAGTACTGTATTTTTAAAGGAAAAACTTACCAAAAAGGGAAAGTGTAGCAAACTTTTAATCACATCCTAAAAGGAAAATGTAGCAAACTTTAAAATATGGAGGGAGTATTAGACAACTTACAACCAAGCCAGAGATCTCAGCAGAAGATTACCTTGTCAATCTTATCCTCTCCACAAATAACAATTGAGATAATCCCAATTTTGTGTAACATAAGTACTCTCATTTATCGTGTCCACAATAATAAAACAACCCTCAACTAGTCTGTCATCGGGTCGTATGTTCCATAAACACAACTCAATGATGAATAGTGCAACATTAATCTACAACTCTTAAATTTAGGTTTGTGTAGCTTCTTCTTATCTTTCTATTGAACTATTGATGGAGGAAAATGTTACCGACCAGTTCTATGGTCGCACATATAAACGAAGAAACCGGAATGGAACAAATGCAATTAATGAACAAAGATGCCAAAGAAAAGGCCCAAGGAACCAGTTACAGTCCTATTAGTATTAAAATATTAATTAATCCTTCTTTAAATAGTCTTCCTCTATTATAGTTCTATTGGTATAACAATTTATTTTCCCGTTTAGTATTAGAAAACCCTTAATACCTATATAAGGGGTTCTCAGTTAATTTAATAAACAGCTTTTACAAAACTAATTCAGGGATTTCTTGACTAGGTTGGAGATCGGATTAATTCTGTTAAGCCTCTTCATACCTCTCTTCATACTTAATTAAAAATCGATTCAAAATTATCTCTCTCTATTTTCGATCATACCATTTTCCATCATTTCCAATGGAGCCAAAGACTCATTATTTTTTGGCTTGGGAATATGATGGAATAAAGCAAAATGGCTCACTAAAATGTTTGTGCTTCTTTGTTATGAAGGAATAGTCAACCCATGCAATTTTCGACGCGATTTTCATCATGGGTCACTCAGAAACAATCTCTTTGATCTTTAGTACATGGGTAAGGCTTCGTACATCCGACCCCTCTTACCCCACCGTAGGTGGGAGCCTTTGCAGAACTGCGATAATGTTGTTGTGTTATTGATCATACCAAGGTTCCTGTTCTCAACCTTGGATAAGGTCACTTATTCGCGTCGTTAACAGAATAGCATGCTGCCATTGCGTTTCGTTTGTTTCGTTACTAGAGTTTATGAATCCCCGGTTCCAGTGTGAGAATACAAAGGGGAGGAACAAATTTTATGTATAGATCACCAAAAGGTAGAGAAACATACTATGGTGAAATAGTGGATACAATCCGTGAGATATTCTTTGAACTGCATTTACGGCAGAGCAAGTGTGCAGGAACATAGATTTGTCTTGATGAAAGATCAAGTGGCATTGTGGTAAGAGATGCTTATTTGGATCTAGATAATGGTCACCTATCGGTAGGCATGGTTAGGTAGCAAACACCAGATCACCGAAGCTTAGCATTCTAAGAGGTACAAGAATAACCAAGTCTTGTGGCCAACGTAAAAAGAAAGGAAAAGTAGATTTTCGACAATGTTCGAAAAGGCGCTAGGCGGTCCGTCACCTAGGCACCTAGACGGGGACTAGTCGGAGACATAAAAATTATAGTTTTATCAATATTTTTAAATAAATATGATTAGTAATGTCGTGTTTGTGTGTGTATAAAAATATATACACACACATACACATTAACATGCATGAATGGTAGAGTTGTCATATTTAATAATATATCATATCTACTCACTTAACATTATGTAATAAATATTCTTAAATAATAATAACACTTAAGACTATATGTGAACATCATCATCATCATTACCCTAGTGCCGCAAAGGCTCCCACACCTTCGGTGGGGTAGGGGGTCAGATGTACGCAGTCTTAACCCTGTACTAAAGCACAGAGAAACTGTTTTCGGATGACCCGTACTGAAAATCACGTCCAAAATTGCATGGACTGATTGCTGCTTCATAACAAAGAAGCGCAGACAGTTTAGTAAGTCATTTTGCTTTATTCCATCATATTCCCAAGCCAAAAAACAGTTAGTCTTTGGCTCTATTGAAAATGATGGAAAAAGGCTATATGTGAACATGTATAGTTTTTATCTTAATCTACAACTACTAGCTTTCTTCATATGTGTTGTTAAAGTTAAGGGTACATATATCTCTTAGAGTACTAAAATAAAATGTTCGACGAATCTAGATGCCTAGGCAACCGATTAAGCACTCTAGGCGGGCAACTAGGCCCTCTAGATGGCCGACTGATTCACCTAGGTGCCAAATCAATTAGTCGAGCACCTAGCCTAAAATCGGGGCGCCCGGTCACCGCCTAGCGCCTAGGCGGGGACTAATCGGGCGCCTAGAGCAATTTTTAGAACAGTGATTTTCGACAATGCAAACATCACTAATTCGACATAGCTGATTTTACATGGAAATTGCACTAGCAAACCCATCAAGTTACAATATTATAGGACAAGAAAAGGTTAGATAAAGCAGGGGTTTTGAACTTATAGCAAATCACCCTGTTCCCCATCTCTCTTGATGCACAATCAGTAAAATGTGTATTTTCAGCATTTTCCCTTCTCAGGTGGGGATATTAGAAGACTTGAAAGCTTGCTACCCCTATGTCAAGAGAAGTGCATATATCTAATGTATCTAAAGTGCTCAAATATAAAGCCCATTTTGGTATTTATTTCGCTGAATCTGATGAATTTTCTTTAAGGAAAAGCGATTGTAAAAATCCATTTCAGCCAAATAAGTCAAAATCTATTTATTATGGTAATTCCAATGATAAGCATAATAGGGTGAATAATGATGTGCTTATCAAGAACGGGCTCATGGTTCCACATAATCACACACATTAGTTCTGTCATGATTCAATATGTTAACACAGCTCTCTGGATGTGCCTCTTCAATCTTCATAACGCATAATACAACTTGTAACAGCCGCTTACCTACGAGACATACTTTGGCCACTGTACGTCTGTACAATAAAAGCTTCTATGTTCTAATTTGAACTGTGAAAGATGTGTGCAATGAAGACGCTTAAGACCACGGATGCAGAAACTATGCTCAGGTCATATAAAACAAGCATGCGTATAATCAAGATGCGCATATGATGCGCATGCAACCATCGAAAAATGATGAAAACTGTTCATTCATTGTCATATCATCAAGATGCGTATATGATGTTTGTGCAGTTGTGACCAAACACACATCATGTTAATGATATAATTGCACAAACCTCTTTCAATATGCCCACATCTTCTGGTCTAAGCTTCTTTTCATATCCAGGTGGTGGAAATGGAAAGCAGCGAGACATTGCAAAGAATTCTACTGCTGGCAAAGAGGTGTTATGAGAACAGTAAGTATCCAACACTTACTTCCTTGCAACAGTTTTCCAGTAAGGGATTGAGCCAGCAATAAAAATACTATACCACGTCCCTTTCCAACTTCAGTAGGCGTTGACTCCCACTCAATCAGTCTTCCAAAAGGACCAAAACCCCACTATAAGCTTCAAATGCAAAGAAGCCCCAAAAGCACCGGTCAGAACTCACATCAGCCACCAATGGCAATCAATGGAATACTGTAATAGACTATGGTATACTTTTAAAACACAAACGCTCTCAATGACTATACCAACAGAAAGGTTACTTCAGAGGATAAACTTGTTCACTGTAATTCTGTTTTAAACTCTTTGAGTGTAATAGTTTTCAATAACCTTCACTTCTCAGCTACTTTAAATGCCAAAACATCTCTTGCAGTATCAAGCTACCGTGGTAAAATGGTCAGCCTTTATATTTCGGATGATATTTTTTGTTTTCCCTTTGTTTTTTACACTGACAGCTTACAAACAATTCTATTTACCTATGGTCCTCAATCACGCCCTTTATGAACAAAAATTAAAAGCATTGTATCATGGAAATTATTCAGATTTGAATGTCAAGTTTCAGCTCAAGGCTATGGAAGACAAATAGCCCACTTCACTGTCGGGCGATCCGCCAACAAAATTGCAACAGCAAAACCCGCAAGAAGCACCCGATGATGAGTGTGGCAAGTTGGCTGATCAAAACCGTAACTCAGTTCGGAAATTCCGATCAGATTCAGTAAACCTGAAAGGAAAATCCAGCACAAGCAGCAATCTTGAGTAGCTAGCAATGAGAGGCAACAAGAGGGATGAAGCCCTAATTTAGGGACACGCGCACAGGCAGATCGAGAGACCAAGAAAGCAAAGCTGAAGATTTTTTTAAAGAATTTCGAAGTTAAGATTCAAACGCTTCGCTAGAAAGGAGAAACAATGGTTTCTTTCCCCAAAGGTTAACAAAAGACAAGAAACACGGGGTATGATTGAGCTGGGATGGAAAATTCAATCGGTAAGATCACAATGACTCATGGAATACGATAAGAAGATCAATGGAGGTCGTCTTGGGGAAGTAGACACGAAACCGGGAGAAAACGCAGAGAAAAGGGTCGCATAGAAATAAGAAAGAGAGAGAAGAGCGAAGGAATGGTATAAAAGAGGATGAGCGAGCGAGTGAGCGGAATGAGGAGAAATCCCCACTCTCGCTCTCGCCCGTTTGAGATCGACTCTCCTCTCTCCCTCCCCCTATTTATGCATGCCCATGCCCCTCCATATTTCGGAAATCACAACCACCTCCTCTAATCAACACCGCACGATTTCTTTTTAGCCGTGGAGCGGGCCGGATCCGGATTTGCAAGGACATAAAAAGCCAAATAATTTTGAGATGGCATCCCATGAAAATTTTACAAATAAGACCAAAAGTCACCAAATTTCCAAAAATAAGACAATCGAAATTCCTAATACCTAAATTAAGATAGATTGACAAAAATAACCTCAATTAAAAGCTACAGACAATCGCTCCATCTATGTGCATCTTTCATCGATTCCCAAAAAACTCTTCAACCCAAACTTTTCTGAAATTTTCCCGTTAAACATTTAAAACAAAAGCTTCTTCCCGACGACCGAATACTTCACCGCTAACAAAGAACAAAAGGGCCAAGACGATAAAGCAGTCGAACTTTGAATGTAATTGAAGTACAATTGAATAAGAGTAGAGCAAAGCGAAGACCACAGATGCATAACAAGCATGGCAATTCGAAAGAAGAGATCAGACGATAAAAATGAAGGCAACCAATTAACTGATAATGAAGTTTCAGATAGTGATTTTGAGACGAAGGAGAAGAATGAAACAACCAACGAAAAACAAAAGGAGGAAGACAAAGAAGAGGTTCTTCCATCTCGCAAGGTATTCTCTGTACTTACTCTTTTGTTTAATTTTTTGAGAAATTGAAATAATGACTACAATAGAAACCGAATATGCAATTTCATTTAGTTTGAGACGTAATTACTGACTTCAAATTAGTATAAAAAATTCATTACTGGCTTGCAATATGAATGTCGGTTTCATATATTGTTCATTGTCATTTCATACTGTCGATCAGTTTTGTATGTGATGGATAGTGTACCCGGGGGGTAGTTTATCCGAGCGGTTATTACGGGGAGTAACAAGAGAGAAGTCAGAGCAAGTAAGAGAGAGAAAGTATATTGAGTTTAGGCGTTAAAGCGTTTATGACTTGGTTACAAATGGGGGAAAGGGGTGCTATTTATAGTAGCAATAAATGTCGGACAGGGACACATGTCAAGCGCCCATTGGCCGAGAGGTCACCTCAACTGGTTGGCGCTGGCAGCCGCATGTGGCCGCATTTAATGCGGCTGTTGGATGGGACGTCGTACAGGGTACGGTGATCTGTACGCATGTGGCGCGGATATTATGTCGGGGGAGGTGCCCTCGGCTGCAGAGGACTAACCGAGGGCTCTGAGTGCCGGGGACCCCCTGGGTGCCGAGGGCTCCAGGTGCCGAGGGCTACCGTTTTCTGCCGTTTTTCTCCCAGTTTCTTGGTTTGCTTGAAAACCCATTCTGTGAGAGTTTTGAGCCTTCGGCCAGGGGGACGAAGGCTCCCCAGTGTGCGCCGTGGGCTGCTAAGTGCTTGGGGCGCCGTAATTTGGGCCTGTTGGGCCTTCTGGACCTGTTGGGCCTTTACTGGAGTAGTAGGAGTCTGTGGGCCGGGTGTTCCCGGGCCATATACTCCATCAGTATGTTTAAGACGAAATTATTGGCTTGAAATTAGAATCAGAATGCATTACTAACTTGGAATTTGATTGTGGTTTTCATACATTATTCATTGTCATTTTGTTATAGTCTCAGTCAGTTTGGTATGTTTGAGACGGAATTATTGACTTGAAGTTAGAATAAGAAATGCATCACTGACCTGGAATTTGAATGTGGTTTTCATATATTGTTCATTGACATCTTTATACTCTCGGTCAGTTTTGTATGTTTGAGACAGAATTATTGAGATGAAATTAGAATCAGAATGCATTCCTAACTTGGAATTTGATTGTGGTTTTCATATAGTGTTCATTGTCATCTTTATACTCTTGGTCAGTTTAATAGGTTTGAGACGGAATTATTGACTTGAAATTACAATCAGATTGCACTACTGACTTGGAATTTGATTGTGGTTTTCATATAGTATTTGATGGAGTATTAACTGCTAAAGAGAAGGGAGAGCTAGAGAGAGAAATGATATGTATTAATTGAACTCAAGTGTTCGATCGGATTTTCTTACAATGAAGAATTGGCTAGCTATTTATAGCTGGAATAAATGCTAGGTGCAATAAATGAGGGTACACGTGTCAAGCAACCAACGATGGAGGGTCAACTCAGCCAGGGTGGCGTCGACATAGCATGTGGTCGCATTCAATGCAGAGGTTTGGATGTGACATTGCATTCAATGTGGTGATTCAACGCATGCAGAGAGGAGATCTTGTCGTGGTATTGCCGGAGGCCGTACGTCCCCTGGGGCCTTCTTGTGCTGAAGGACGTACATACCCCGGAGGCTTTCATGTGTTGAAAGACATACGTATCCTGGGGGGCTTCATATGCCTAAGGCTGTACGTAGCCGGTGGACTGCCATGTGCTGAAGGACGTATGTGCCCCAGAGGCTTCATGTGTTGAAGGACGTAGGTATCCTGGGGGCCTTCATATGCCTAAGGCTGTACGTAGCCGGTGGACCGCCATGTGCTGAAGGACGTACGTGCCCTGGAGGCTTCATGTGTCGAAGGACGTACGTCCCCTGGGGCCGTCATGTGCTAAAGGCCGTACGTACCCCTGGAGCGTACGTAGCATGGGGGACCGTCATGTGCTAAAGGGTCGGAGGCCGTACGTGCCCTGAGAGTCTTCATGTGCCAAAGGCCGTACGTAGTCGGAGACTGTCATGTGCCGAAGGCCATACGTACCCCGGGAGCCTTCATGTGCCAGAGGCCATACGTAGCCGGGGACCGTCATGTGCCAAAGGTTGCACGTCCCAGAAGCCGTCCGAAGTCTTGTTTGCTGTGTTTGATCCACTTAGGCCTGTTGGGCCAGTTCGTAGTAGTGGAAGTATGTGGGCCAGGGGTTCCTGGGCCATATACTCCATCAGTATTCATTGTCATCTTTATACTCACGGTCAGTTTAATATGTTTGAGACGGAATTATTGGCTTGAAATTAAAATCGGAATACTATTTGATGCTGGTTTTCATATATTCTTCATTGTCATCTTTATGCACAATGGCATGCAAAAAATAAATGCATTGCTAAATTAGGAATAACTTGAGACATTCAGAAACACAACATTTGAAAAAATGCTAGACATTGGAAATGTGCAATGGATGAAAGGGCAGCTGCTCATTCTAATAGTAGAAAATCATGTCAAAAAAGTTGAACAGTAAAGTGTATATAGACATATTCATTTCAACATTGGTGATAGATTGGTCTACTTCTACAAAAGAGAGCTTTCTTTAATAACTGGGTTCAAGATGGGTGGCGAAAAACTTGTGAAATCGACAGAGACAAAAGGGGACATATGGAAAAGGGGTTTTAACTCAAGGGATAATGTATCAAGGAAAGACATTAAAGGAGCTTTTGAATAGTTTGATAACATATTGGTGGATAAACAACCTTTAGAAAAGGTAAAGTTGGCAGTTCTGCATTTAATTGCTAACTTCTTAATTGGGAACCAGCCAAGTGTGAAATGTCTTGAGAAGTACATAAATATGGTAGATAATCTGGATTTGGTGGATGAATATCCATGGGGAGATGAAATCTGGGAAGATTTGATCGAAAAGGTGCCTAAGTGGACTAAGAACATTAAAAGGTCAAAAAATGATAGGTATAACTTTCCAGGATTTAGCTTTGCATTGCAAATATGAGCGTTTGAGAGTTTCTCAGCGCTTAGGAAGACAAATGCGTGCAACATTGAAGAAGACAAAAAAGCAATGTGGCCAAGAATTCTGAAATGGTCAATTCCTAAAAAACTTGTGTTACGACACTTGCTCACAACATATTTGACAACAAACAAGTAATGTTTATAAATTAATCCGCTGTTACATAATTATATTAATTTATTGACTGAAAATTGTTTAATTTACACTATAACAATTCTTTCATGCAGTTTGAATTTCAAAAAATGTGCCCAACAGAAGAGGAGCTTCAAAATCCAATGATAAAGGCATTTTATGCAGACAAAATGCCTAACCCCTTGATGGAAAAAAAGGCGTCTCTCTTTGGCAGGAAAGAGGAAAGAGAATTCTGTGATGGCAAATGAAACTGAAATTACAAAGGATGAGAGGACTCATGAAGGAAAGCATGTACAATTTGAAGCTGAAAAAAATCAAGTCAGTGATCAAGGGCATGAAGACATGCAGCACCAAAACTCTGAGCATGCAGGTCACAGTGGAATTAACAACTTAAATCGCATGTTTAAGAGAAGAAAAGGGGTTGGCAATGATCTTAGAGAAAGCATCATACTGCGTAACTTAATGTCTGTTGTGGTGTTCCAATCAAAGAAGACACAAAAGCTTGAGAAAAGATCTGAAAAGCTTGAAGATGGAATGCAGAAGCTTCTAAATGGGCAAAGGGAACACTCTAAAATGTTGAGATCACTTCTTAGGAAGAATGGTGAATATGAACAAGATGACAGCGACAAAAGGGGATTGGACTTAGACAATGATCTTCATGCACAAGAAGAAAGCAAAATGGGAAAGAAACTCTCCTGAAAATAAAGCAAATGATTATTCTTTTCCCATATGTGATACGCCAAGTTTTGATCTCATATTGATGACACACAGAAGGAGATGAAAGAAACTGAGGGGGTAAGAGTCTTCTGGTAGTGATGCTTCCAGTCAACTTCATAAACAGATTGATAGTAATGATGTAGAGCCGATGTGTGGTCAAAATCAAGACATTTTTATTGGTGAAGAGATTCAGGCGCCAACTCAAACAAGCATCAACAGTGAGGAGTTACAAATGCATGTAAATACTATCCTTACAGATGTCATTAAAGATCTGAAGCAAACAGAGGAGATGATAGAAGAAGAGGTAATGTCTTTAGTGTACACGACTTGTACTGATTGTTACTTTAATGTTTACTAAATGACTACCTTTACGAAATCATTGACTATATTTTAATGGAAATATTCTGATTGCAGGAAGAGTAGATGGCAGATGCTGGTAGATAGACATAATGAGAG